ACCATTGACCATCCACCCTGAAATGTCGCACCCAACCAATGGCGTTGCACCTAGTGTGACGCGTTCACGGCACTGTTCACTGATTGGATAATCCTTTCGAGGAAGTTACACCGATGTAAGTGATCGGAGACAGTGTCATTTGACGTCAAAATGTGCAAGCGCTTATCGATCAGGGAGAAGTAGAATGTGTTGGAAATGCTGAAACAGCCAGGTGCAACTTAGAGCTCTGTAGTCAAGTCACTTTGAGTTTCACGAAAAACTGTCTACAATGTTGTATCCCATTGAACGACTATCGGGGAATTTTCGAACGTTGGAGCATCTGAGGGAAGAAACCACCTAAAAACCAACGAGATGTTCAATGCAGCGAATGAGGCAACCTTGGCTTGGTTTACCGCTGAGGGAAAAGCACGGAAAGTTTCCAATGGTGGAGAGCACCGTATGTAAGAAGGCAATCCAGCTAGAACAAAAATTGCATCATAATGATTTCAAGGCTTACAAAGGTTGGTTTCGCACTTGGTCAGGCAGATATGGTGTTCAATCGTAAATAGTAAGAAACAAGCAACTCATGTGCCTTACTTTGTCTGTGGAAAAAGTTTAGTGGTACTACGTGATGCAGTGGATGAGTTTCGAGCAGGGTTACCGCAGTTGATACAAGGATATACTGACTGCGATACTTGTACAATGTAGATCAAACAGCTTTNTTACAGGCAGATCGCGGAAAGAACATTGAGTCTGAAAGCAAAGACAGTTTCTGGGTTCAAGAAATCCAAAGAGAGGGTCACATTACTGCTTTGTGGGAGCATGAATGGAGAAAAGTTATCACCCTTGGTGATCGGAAAATTTCAAACTCCACGATGCCTCCGAGGTGTAGATAGAAAAAACCTTCCATGCAGTTATAATTCTTCAAAGAACGCATGGATGACTCCTACATTATTTCACAGTTGGCTGCCCGATGTCAACCACAAAATGTTTTCTCTAAGGCGATCTATTTTACTATTTATGGACAACGCCCCTTGCCATTACCAAGCAGCAGTATTTTCCAACGTCAAATTCGTACGGCTGCCTCCGAACTGTTCTTCGATGTTACAACCAATGGATCAACGGTGATTTGGTCTTTCAAGTGTTCGTTTCGGAAACATTTACTGGAATATGTTTTGTCGTTGATCGAAGATGAGCAACGTATCATGAAAGCCGAGGTGGACATTCTCATGGCCATACATCTGGTCAAGAAAGCTGGGGTGTCTGCGCACCCGCACGTACTGAGCAACGCATTCATGAAAGCAAGGTTCAAATCCACATTGATTCAGCCTGTGATGCAGCCACCAAAGGATAAATGCGATCTGATCGAAGACTTTACTCAGTGTGTCTATTGATGACCGTCTTTTTGAAGAAGAAACCGCCTGTTTGGAATTTTATTAAGTGGGTTATTTTAAATTTTTGTATCAAGTCTTCTTTAGTCATCAGATAAATTCGTTTCGAATCAAGCTAAGCATCGCAACGAAGATGAATGTGAAGCAGTGAATGCGCCGGAAGTTATCTCAATCAGAGAGGCGCAGAAGTCACTGGATCAACTGAAGGTCTTTGCTTTAGCTAATGCTCGGAGTTCTGGTCGATTATTGGAGTGTACAATTGATCTAGACAGCGCGTTTGTTGATTTCCGACGAAGAGCCAAGCTGAGACAAACGACGACTTATGATTTTGCTAAAAATACATTTTTCTAATCCGGGAAGTTTTCTTGCGATTCTATGAACTGAAATATGAGGCACTCGAATGTGGTCACTTTTGCTGGAGGTCACCAAAGCCACGGTCATTCGGTCTATCGATGGGCTCTGTAGCACTAACGTGCAAACGGGTGAACGATATTCGCGATTGAGTGGTAAGCGGGTGAGCGGAGTGAGATGTCAGATGCAAGCGATCGATAAACACCGTCACGCGGACGCGCCTGTGTGAACGAATGATCGATACTCTCACTTGTCCTAGAGCACTGATGAAATTAGACAGGTCACTTGCCAAAGGTCATTGTAACCCGGGTTTAAGGACACTTTGTGAAATGCACTTTTAGCCTATGAATCGTTAACTGCCTGAGAGTTGACGCAACTCTTGTAGGCTGGTGTCTATGGCCTTCGCTCAGCTGAACAAGAGTGAATTTCTTCCAAGTAAACTCCCATCTCACGCCTACCGGAAAATTTGCGCGAGAACCAGCTTAAGAAATAGTGCGTGTATCTTAGACGAGTCAAACGTTGGCCCAGGGTCATCATCACTTGAACCTTTTTATGCGGATTCTCCCAAATGGCGTATCGTTCCATAACCAATTCTCCTGTGGTTATTCTCCACCAACCTAAACAGCATCGGATTCGGAAATTATCCGCCTCCTATGCCCACCCGAAAATCACACGACCGATCGGGTTCATTTATCGACCGGTCGGATAGTCACCGCAACAAGAGACCTGGTGCTTGTCCAGCTAACGCGAGCGAGAAACCACACCTTGCCTACAACCGCGAGTCTTTAGCAGACCCAGTGAACTTCGGCTGTACAGCAGGCGTGCCTTCACCACACGGATGGACTGTACATGACAACAAGATCATCACAAAAAGTACAAGACAATGCGAAACGATGGAGTAATCGGACTATCGCACTATCAACATAGCAACATATTAAATTATTGCTCGGATATCTTAAATTGAAAAAGGTATCCTTTATGAATCACGTTAGGGCATCACTAGTTGAACTCAGTTCGACCATCAACATGATGAATGCATCAGTCGGTTTGAACATACACTGGTAACAACAGAAGCGGACGAACGAATAGATGTCTACAGACGTTAATGATACACATTTTTCACTAGTAAATAATGAATAATTGCACAACGAATAATCAGCTTCGATATGGGAAGGAAGTCAATGTTCTGAGTATACCCCGGACCAGATATTTCACTCATTTTAGATGTTATTTCCTTCTCACTGTATTCGAACTGGTTCACCTTTAGTTTCCTCGAATGGGTTAATAATGATGTGATTATTATAGCTAAAACAGTTGCAACGGAATGGAGGAATATGGAATAATTGGGTCAGAAAAAGTTCCCCTGAGGAAAGGTAGGTAGTTTCGGGATAACTAGACACAGAACTGAAAAAGGGTTAAATACCGAATGCAATGTACCGATATTAAGCTGAGGACCTCATAAAAGATTTAACTTTCTTCTATACATACAGGATACGCAGGGAGGCAGATCTAAATTCCGTTATAAATAAACAGTTTATAATTATAAATATTGGAAATAGCCTACTTGTCATCGATCCCGTTTATTTCGTCACAGAACTGTCAACCGATTTTTATACTACTTATTATCATCTACTACTGTTTACTCTGCTATGTCGCAGTTCCTGGAATTTACCCACTTTTTGGAATTCCCGAGGGGTGCGACATAGTGAGAGATTGACTGTATTACTCCATCTAGAGCACACGAGTTTGTAAATGAATCATCAGATGAATACAAATGCTTGGAAAATGTATACGGAACTTGGAGTTTACCACGATGCTTCATTTGAGAGCAGTCATGTGCAGCTAAATATACAAACTGGAGCAACGGAAAAGTTCATAAGTGGTATATCTTACCTTCTGTGTTTTCAGCAAGTGCTGTGACAGAATCGTAAATCACTAGATCACCGCCAACTCTTGCTTTTCGAAGCCATCCAGGAGGATAACCGAGGGACCTCATGCGATAAATGTGCAAAGGAATTTCATGCCTTGCTAGATCTAATGCTCGTCGTAATTCCCGTCTGAGTAACGGCAGATTACAGTCAAATACGTTTGAAACTCACGAGATGTGTCCAGGTCGAAATTTGTGGAACTCTTCCGCTTCGTGATACCGTTTACCTACAGGCCCACGCCGCTGGCGCGGCGGCTTCGATTCTGAGTTAGGTTCATCAGTTTTTTCATCCTCCGGCTTAAAATGATACAAAATGGTGCTTGACTGTGATCTACGCAATTATATTATAAAAACTGATTAGATAAGTGTACCCTTCTGCTGGCTTCTTGTCAATAACGAATAAGTCGTCCGCATCATCAGTCATTGTCTGCGAGAAATATGCTGAGCCACACAAATGGAGTTTCAAACAGATTCTAATATCTGAAGTGGACAGAGAAAACGAACAGAATGAAGCAATAGTTGATCTTTTTAAAGGAGCTGTGTGAGCATTCACTTTAGAAGTGGAGTACCGTGAGTTGGATTAACGGGTCCAACAGCTGCATCACGATTGCAACTGAAGACTCTTAAGCGACTACGACTGCGAAATCAACAGACCCTAGCCCCTAGGTAGAAAAAACAGCCCCGCGTTATGGACAAGACCGACATTATCCGGTTCAACACGTATCGTAGACAGGAACAAGCTCCGTTGATTCCAGTCTATATATTATATATATATATATATCAGTTTTCACAACCATTAACCATGCATTTTTATGCATCAGTTTTGGTTGCCCATTTGGATAAACCAGCAGAGGGAAGAATGGAATATTGACACCAGAGTCAAAGAGAAGATCTAGAATTGATACGGATTAGGGTTTCAAGAATACTGAGTAGATGTACGAACACCATTGTTTGTGAAAATCAGCCATATCACCTGTTACCATGATCTCAGGGTCCTCATCCAGGGAGTCTAACGGACCTGTGACTCATACCTCTGGTTAGGGTTTTCATACCCTCATGCCAGGTCTGAGTTTGACCGCCTTTGACCTTTCTTTATCCACTGTCTGCTTTGGCAAACATCGTGCGTCGTGATAACTTATTTTGTGGCATGCGCAACACGTCCCAACCACCGTAGCCTATAGAGGTCGAGAACTTGTGCCAGTGGACGACCGTGATTACCTAAAACCCTGTGTCTTACTTGTTTAGTTTCCCCACGCCGGGTAATCG